TGCAGCTTCATAATACAATTTAACACCATTTATCCCTTGTTAAAAAGAATTCTTTGATACTCTTGTCTATTTGTTCTCCTAGAGGAAAAGAAAAGAACATTCTGAGTCGAGGCAAAGGCAAGAAGTGAAGGCTGCAGGGGGAAAAGCACAGAGTATGTCTGGGTGTTGCAGTGACCCTGTTTGGATGGGCGTGGACAATGGTGAGGGAGAAGGCCAGAAAGGCAGTGACTGATCAGCGCGTACAGATTGTTGACAGTCACAATAAAACTTTGGATTCCATTCTGAGAGCCGTAGAAGGTTTCTGAGCAGCCAGGTGATGAAATCGTGTGTGTTTTGGAGAGTTTTCTCATTTGGCTGAGTTTCCTTCTCTATAGGGTCTACTACATAATCTCTCCAGGGATTCTCTCAGGGACTCTTGCCACATCCAGGTGAGAAGTGCCAGACCAGTGGTTATGGTGGTGAAGAGAAAGGGCCTTATTTGTTTCTGACACAAAAGAGACAGAACTTAGTGTCTGACCAGAAATGACCTTGAGTGAGTGGCAGGTCCCAGGGTTTCTGACCTGAGAGCAGGCCATATTACACCACAGGGGAGCGTGCTCCTGGAGGAGGGCAGACTCCATTCTGGATGTACTGAGCCTGTTTATGGATTTCTCTGGGTAGATACCTTTGAGTTAGGTATTTGATTCTGGAGAAGGATCTGGTCTGGAGATCAGCTACAGCAGTCTTTTGTATTAAGATGGAGTGACAGTTTTAATCCAAGGAAGAGGACTGATTAGAAAACATAAAAAGGGTTTACATTTAAAGGACAGGAAAGAATAGAAGACAGGCAAGAAAATTCATAAGGACTACAGAAGGGGTGGAGGACCAGGTGATTACCATATGATGGAAGGCAAAGAGGGATGGAGTTTGTGGGATGGTAGCTGTTGACATCAGAGTCTGCAGAGCTGGGACAGGTTTGGAGCAGAATGAGGACAGAGAAGACTCCCTTGCATCGAATAGTTTAGAGAACATGATCAGTTACACCAGAGGTCAGCAAACTTGTCTTTAAAGGGCTGGATAGTAAATATTTTAGGTTTTGAAGGCCATACGGTATCTGTCACAACTATTTGACTCTGCTGTTATAGTATAAAAACAACCATCACCAGCAGTAAATGATCAGCCAGGGAAAAATAAATCATCCAGGGAAACTCATTCCAGCCAGAGGACACTCAAGTGTCAAGACTCCAGTGAAGACCAAGCACAGTGGCTTTTGCCTACAATCCCAACAGTCTGGGAGCCCGAGGCCAGTAGATCTCTTGCGCTCAGGAGTTCAAGACTAGGCTGGGCGAGAGCGAGATCCCATCTCTACACAAAAGAGAAAAACCAGCTGGGTGTTGTGGTGGACACCTGTAGTCCCAGCTACAGCTACCCGTGGGTCCATAGAACTTTATTTATATAAACAAGGGGTACCCGAGATTTGGCCTGAAGGCCATAGTTTTCTAGCCCTGATCTATAGACTATCTATTTTCTCCAACCAGAATCAGACTGTAGTCATCCATAACTGGTTATATGACTCAATGAGCTAATTTGAAAACATACGTATATTTAGTGATAAATTGTGATAAAATTTCTTTCTTCATAATTTCTACCCGTTTAGAGTTACTATTGTTGGAGGAAAAGGATTTTGATGTGTTTATGAATTTACTAACTTGAGCTGATTCTGTTGAATTTTGTAGGCATGCAATTATGTCATCTGTATATAGTGATGTGTTATACTTCCTTTTTTAATTTGCATCTTTTCCCAAGCTTTGATTCTAAGTCAGAGAGAGGTGGTGGCCCCTCTTTTCTGCCACCTTCCCTTTTACCAGTCTTGTTTGATGAAGACTTGGTAGCTGTGGGTTTCTCTTGTTGATTTCCTAGAAGCCTATTGGAGTTTGAAATGAAAGTTCTTCAGCCTTCAATTAGCAAGAGTGGTTCACCAAACAGGATCCTATCGCCTTTGTAGTGAGGCCAAGTCAGTGGCCTGCTTTAAAATTTTCCTCTTTTCAAAAAATCGATACAAAATAGTTGTATATATTTTGGGGGTACATGTGACATTTTGATACATTTATACAACATGTAATGATCAAATCAGGGTAGTTAGGATATCCATTGCCTCAAACGGTTTTCTTCTTTGATTTTTTTTTTTTTAACTCTTAGAATCAAATCCAAACTTCATACCTGGGCCTCCCTAGTCCTGCATGACCTGATTCCTGCCGACCTCTTTAATAGCATCACTGACTTTCCTTCCCCTCACTCGCTTGTCTCCAGCCAAGTCCTTACCCTCACTGGGGTCTTTTTTTTTTTTTTTTTGAGATAGAGAGTCTCCCCGTGTCATTCTTGGTAGAGTGCCATGTTATTATATCATCATATCTTACAGCAACTTCAAACTCTTGGGCTCAAGCAATCTTCTTGCTTCAGCCTCTCAAGTAGCTGGGACTACAGGTGCCCACGACAACACCCGGCCGGTTTTTCTCTTTTGTGTAGAGATGGGATCTCGCTCTCGCTCAGGCTAGTCTTGAACTCCTGAGTTCAAGGGATCTACTTGCCTCAGGCTCCCAGACTGCTGGGATTGTAGGCAAAAGCCACTGTGCTTGGCCTTCACTGGAGTCTTGACACTTGAGTGTCCTCTGGCTGGAATCAGTTTTTCTGGACCCTTCCCATGCCTGGCCAGGCTTTGGATCTCTGTTCTGAGACATTCCTTTAATCGTCACTCTATTGAAAGGAGTCTGATTGCCTCAGTGTCTCTGTTGTACAATTCAGTTTATTTGTATCATAGTAGTATTAGTCAAGATCTGCACTTATTTATTTACTTTTTGGAAACAGAGTGTCACTCTGTCTCCCAGTCTAGAATGTAGTGTGGCATCATTGTAGCTAACAGCAACATCAAATGCCTAGAATCAAATGATCCTCCTGCCCCAGACTCTTGAGTAGCCAGGTCTATAGGCGCTCATCACCATGCTCAGCTAATTTTTCTATTTTTAGTAGAGGCAGAGTCTCACTCTTGCTCAGGCTGGTCTCAAACTCCTGAGGTGATTATTCTGTCTTGGCCTCCCAGAGCTCTGGGATTACAGGCATGAGTCACTGTGTCTGCCTAAAATCATCTTATATATAAATTGTTGTACTTATTCATTGTCTGTCTCTCTGCAGCAGAATGTGAGCTCCCAAGGGTGAGGATGTGGTCTTTCTTGGTCATAACCATTGTCTCCAATCCCCAGAGCTGAGCCTGGCGTGGAATAGGTCCCCCATCAGAGCTTGTTGAATGATTCATCCTCCACCCTTTCTACCTGGCTTTGTTCCCTGAGAAATTGAAATTTTGGACTGTGTCAGCTGGTATACTTTGCCCTCTGACCTTTATTTGGGACTGTCCAGGAGAAGCACTGGACAAAGCTGAGGAGGAGACACAGATGCCACAGTCAGGGCATCTGTTCTCCTGGGTGTCCCTTGCAGAGTCACCTCAGGCTGTGCCTTTCCCTGGTCTGATGTTCTCAGTCCCTGTCAGGCAGCCCTTTTAGTCCCTGGGTCCTGCTCTCTCCTTTCCCCCCAGGCCTATGGTCTGAGGAAGGAGGAGAGAGAGGCTGGAGTACTGATTCCCTAGGCTTCCTTCTTGGCAGCTGGACCTTGGCAGTCACGGTGTTCTTCTGAAGGCTGCCTCTCATGACAGGTGGCCCTGCTCAGCTCAGGCTCTCCCCTCCTGGGGCCTGCCTGGCAGGCCTGGGGTGGCAGTGTCTTCCTGCAGCAGGCATGCCTGGGTGTTAGCCTGTTCGTGTTGATTTCCTCAAACTCTACCCACAACTTTGTAAAGAGTCCTTAATTCTCCATTACTCCATCTGTGTGTGTCATCTCTCTTCTACTGGGACTCTGTCCAGTAGTTTATTCATTTGTGAAATGGGGAAGTTGACCGAGTAGTTTCTGGTGCATCTGTGCTTCTCACATGATCACTGCTTATTGCTTTTCAAGCCAGTCCCTGATTCTGATAACATTAGTTGCAAATCTGAGTTGTGTAAAGATGTACCAACTGGGTGTTTTATTTAGTTTTCAAACTATTTTGATGAAATTTGGCCCTAGAATTGAGGACAGGGTTTTGTTGCTTTTATGAATAAATGGTTTCTGATAGTTAGTACCATATATTGGAATTAAAATAAAGAAGGTGGCTTTCATTCCTTAATTTTGTGGACATTATTTTTCCAGATCTTTTGTTGAGTCAAATGTCCTCCTTTCTCCTCTAGTCTTGTCTGTTTTGATAAAGAATGACCCAAAATAAACCCACATGGAAGTAAATAGAACAACAGAAGGCTGGGCTGATCCTCAAGTCTGCTATAGATTTTAGGGGTGAACCTAAACTTGCTTGATCAAGTAAGGCTGGGCTGAGGTCTCAGAGGCCCACAGGGTTCGGATGGTTTTAATAAGTCATCATGGGAATTCCTTTTTTGATTTCACCCTACTTGCATCCAGGTGGAAATAAAGACCACATTATGGAAAATGGAATGCGGATTCCATTTTCCTTTGTTTTGCACCTTGGAGGAAAAAAGAGTCATCAGTTCTCTACCCTATTCAATTGATCAATGCTGGGAAGAGAACCATCTCCAAATCTTCCAAACTCAGCCTAAATAGCTGTAAAGGCAGGAGCTAGAGCAAAGGAAATAATTAGGGTTTTTTGACATGGTCTGCTGGATCGCCACTGGATTCGGTATGTTGTTTTGGACAAAATCTTTACTTAAAAAAATGGAAAAACATGGAATTTAGTTTAGTTCTTACTGCAGCCAGCAGACAGGCGGTTATCTCTGCTTAATACACGTTGCCTGAGCACCACAAAAATGTTATGGTTTCCTTCTGCACATCATGATGGAACAAAAGTTGGGAAGCATGTGCCCCCTGCCCCACCCCTCCTGCCTTCTCGCCCTGTGGCCCTTCTGTCTTTCTGCGCATTGCTAACGCTGCCAATGCTCACCACCTCTTTTCTGTCTCTCTATGGTTTACAGACAGTCATGATGCAGTCCTGAGGTTTAATGGGGCACCCACAGCCAACTTCCAACAAGATGTGGGCACGAAAACTACCATTCGCCTGATGAATTCTCAGGTAAAATTTCTTCTGTGCACATATGGAGTGAGAGAAGGACCCTGGTGTGGGCTCTAAAGCAGAATATATCTACCAAGTACCACACCAAAGCTGCCAGCTCCTTAAGTCCCTTGACCTTCCTAATTCTCAGCTTCCTCACTGGAGAAGAAGACAGTGATTCCATGATCCAAGTTGGTGATGGCTAGACACCTACTGTCCTGTGTCTGCCAGCTCATCTCTGGAGAGTTGTATGAGGGACAGTAGAGTAGGGAACATTTAAGGGAGAGTGAGGAGTATTGTGAAAAGTAAATGAAATGATATGTGAGGGTGCTTTATGAACTGTAAAAGGCTATACAAGTATTATGAGACATCAGTACCAAGTCATTAGGTGTAATACAGTACTAGGATTCCTGTATCATGTCATAAATTCACCTAGGTAATTAGTTTCCTAAAGTATTTCTAGGTAGCACATGCTGGTGTCTCGGTGCTAATGGAAATTTAGAAATATTCTTACCACAAAGTTCTGTTAATAGATTTAAATAGCAGAAAAAACTGTGTTATGGGCATCAACAATTGTATGATGGGTTGCAGCCCTACTCACCTCACTCACAACCACTGGCGTTTGCCTTTTTCTGAGTGAACATAGGAGCCTTGGGTGTTTTTATGTCTGTGTTTGGTCTTTGTACACTTTCCGAGGACTCCTAGAAACACCCTCTCAGCACTGTTCCAGTAGGATGTGCCTCTCTCCTCTCCCCGGGCAGGGATCCACTTCTCTGTTCTCCTTCTTCATTTCCTGGCTTTCAGGAATTCACCAGCTGGGCAGAGGCTGCTTCCTACAGAGCCTGATTTCCATTTGAGTCCCACAGCTTTCAGAATCTTTCATAATGGGAGAGGAATTGAGGAACTTACCTTCTCTGTAAGTGGCCACTGTCTTGTCTTTTGTTTTTCCTCTAGAACCTTTTGAGTTTTTCTAAGAAAGTCACTTTCTACCACTGGAACATCCTCCAGTAGCGTCCAGGTGCTTCCAATGCCTGTCTGTTGGTTAACCTTGTATTTTAGGTTTTAATATTACTTTTATTATTACTAGAAGAGGGAGGGCTGAAAGAAATGGATTCATTAGCAAGAGATTCTCTGGAGCAAGTGGCATTTGAGCTAGACTTTGAAAGCAGGGCAGGATTTGGAGAAACAGCAGTAAGGATACACTCCAGAAAGTGCAATTGGTAAGACAGAGGTGCATAGGACATCAGGGAAGTGTTCAAATAGCCTGGGCTAGGTTGGAGGAGGCGGTGTGGAGGGATCACATTGCCCTGTAGAGTGAGATGAGGCGGATCTTCTTGACTGCTCAGAGTCTGGCAAGTCTAAATTCAGACAGAGGGGCTAGGACAGGCATGGTGCCTTTCCCTTCTCATGTGCCAGTCATCCTGGAGCTAGAGAGTGTTTTAGGGAGCATTAACTGCTTCTGTGTAAGATGCTACCTAAACATCCAGGAGACATGTGAACTTACCCTTAACTAGCAAATTCATTCAACAGATATGTTTGGTATTAAACAGAGCGTAGTAGTGAGTACATAGTGGGCCTGCTGCGGTTGAAACCCACCACTTTCTCTTACCAGCTAAATGATCATCTCAAGTTACTTATCTAGACAGAGGAGGGAATAATAGGATTTTCTTTGCAGGGTTGTTGTGAGGTATAAATGAGAAAAATGTGTGCAAAATACAGCACCTGGCTGTATTTTGTATGTCAGTGAATACCAACTGCTCTTACTAATGGACAGACACGGAGCCAGTAAGGAGGATGCCGTGGTGAGCAGCACACACTCAGTCTCCTTCTCATGATGCAGTCAGATGGTTTTACAGAGAATATAAAGTTACTACAGAAGAAAGGGTCAAGGTGCTAGTAAAGCCCCTGAGAGGGAGACTTCAGCTATTCAGAAAGGTCAGGAAGGCTTTCCCAAGCAGATGAGAAATTGGATAGAGCTTTCCAGGATTGTGTCCACGTCTTTGCAGTGTAAACTGGGCTGCTGTGAACATTCAGAGCATATGTCCTTATGGCAAAATGATTTTTTATCTTTTGGGTGGATACCTAGTAATGAGATCGTGGGATTCAATGGAAGGTCTATGTTCAATTCTTTGAGGACTCTCCGTACTTCTTTCCATAGAGGCTGTATGAGTTTGCAGTCCCCACCAATGGTGCAGGAGAGTTCCCTTCTCTCTGTGCCCAGGCCAGCATCTTTTAATTTGGGACCTTGTTATGTGGACTGTTCTCACAGAGGTCAGGTAATATCTCAAAGTGGGTTTGATTTTCATGTCTCTAATAATTAGGGAAAGTTTTCATGAGTTTGTTGGCTATTCAGCTGTCCTCATGAGAAAGGATTCTTCTGTTCATGTCTCTTGCCCAGCTTTTAATGGGGTTGTTTGCTCTCTTTTTTTTGTTGATTTGCTTGAGTTCTTTGTAGATTCTTGTTGTAGCCCTTGGTCAGATTTGTAGTCTGTAAGTACTTTTCAACATATGGATGGATTAGTGACCTGTGGGATATGTACACCACGGAATACTATTCAGACACACGCAAAAAGATGAGATCGTGTATTCTTTGTTACAACTTGGATGGATTTGGAGAACACTCTTCTAAGTATCATAAGAATGGAAAAACAAGCATCATGTGTACTCAATAGTAATTTGAAACTTGTAGTTTAAGAAGCAGCTCCCATGAGAGAAAAACTCAATTAAATCCCACAAGGAGGGAAGGGGAGGGGTATTGGCATGATGACATCACATTGTTCCTTCCAAGGGGGAATGATGAGTAGGTGGAGGGCACATTTCCTGGTGAGAAACACAACTACAACTTAGACTTTACCTTAAAAATGCAAACAATGTAACCCAATTGCATATGCCCTCATATTAACTGGAAATAAAAGATAAAAGCTTTTCAGGAAGTGGCAACAGTATATGTAGGGTCGTCTAAGCAGAATGCAGGAGCAGAGAAGGACTGGGGAAGTGGTGGGTATGTGTGGAGACGGTGGTGAGAGATGAGGCTGAAAGGCAGAAGGAAGCCGTGCAGGTCCCCTAAGGAGTTCTGTTCTTACGGCATGTCGGATTTGCAACTGTAAACATCACTGGCTCCATCTGGTCACAGGGGCTGCCGTAGAGGGAGAGGCACATTTAGGAGGATCATTCAGTAGTCTGGGCTAGAAGTGCTGATAGCTTGAACCAGGTGACGGTGAAGGTGAACATGAGGAAAGAATTGATTTGAGAGCTACTTGGGACATGCAGTTAACAGGATTTAATGGTGGATTGGATGTGAGAAGTGAAGGGGGAGCAAGGGTGCAGCTCACTTCTGGCTTATATAGCTGACCAGCCAGAAGTCACTGAGATTGGAAGTACAGTCGTCTCCCCTTTCTTGTGGCTTCACTTTCTGTAGTTTAATACTAGTGATCGATTATGGTCTGAAGATTTTTAAATGAAAAATTCTGGAAATTAACATTTCATGCGTTTTAAATTGTGTGCTGTTCTGGGTAGCATGATGAAGTTACATGCCAGTTCACTCCATCCCTTCTTTTACAAGAAGGGTGAATACAGTTCAATAAGACATTTTGAGAGAGAGAGAGACAGAGAAAGAGTGTGTGTGAGAGAGAGAACATTTACATAATTTTTTTTACTGCATATTATTATAATTTTTTTGTTATAGTATTATTGTTAATGTTTTATGGTACTTAGTTTATAAATTAAACTTTTTTTTTTGAGACAGAGTCTCACTTTGTCACCCTTGGTCGAATGCCATGGCGTCACAGCTCACAACAACCTCCAGCTCTTGGGCTTAGGTGATTCTCTTGCCCCAGCCTCCTGAGTAGCTGGAACTACAGGCGCCTGCCACAATGTCTGTCTATTTTTTGTTGTAGGTTTGCCAGGGCCGGGTTTGAAACCGCCACCCTCCCTATATGGGCCCGGTGCCCTATTCACTGAGCCACAGGCGCTGCCCCATAAATTAAGTTTATTATAAGTATGTATGTAGATACAGGAAAAAAACTACAAAAATCAGCTGAATTTTTTTTGCATTATATACACTGTCAGTGCACAATCTAAAAAAGATTATATAAATTCCATTTATAATAGTATTAAAAAAAACAGAATACTTAGGAATTGATTTAACCGAGGAGGTGAAAAACTTGTGCAATGAAAGCTATAAAACATTTCTGACAGAAATTAAAGAAGCCATAAATGGAAAGGTATCCAATATGGATTAGATATGATTATATTGTATCTTATACAATATTAGTCTTTGTGATTTAGAAGACTTAATTTTGTTAAGATGTCAGTACAACCCCAAAATAATTGCATACAGATTTAATGCAGCCCAATCTCAGTGATGTTTCATGTAGAAGCATAAAAATTTATATGGAATCTTAAGGAACCCCAAGTAACTAATCATGAAAAATAAGAATAAAGCTAAAAGACCCTCACTTGCTGATTTCAAAACTTACTACAAAGCTGTAGTAATGAAAATCATGTGGTACTGGCATAAGACAGACATATAGACCAATGGAATAGAGTATAAAGTTCAGAATAAACCCTTGAGTGTATGGTCAGATGATTTTTGAGAAGCATATCAAGGCTGTTAATGGAAGAAAAGATAGTCTTTTCAAGAAGTGGTGCTGGGAAACCTTGATATCCACATGCAAAAGAATGAAGTTGGACACTTACCTAACACTAAATACAAAAATTAACTCAAAAATGGATCTATGACCTAAATGGAAGATCAAAAACTATAGAATTATTAGGAAAAAACAGCAAAACTTTATGACTCTGATTTGGCAATGATTTGCCTGACTAAGAATGAGACCCCCAACTCCTAAAAAAAATGGAAAAACCCAGCCGGGTGCCACAGCGAGTGCCTGTAATCCCAGTGGCTTCCGGAGGCTGAGGCAGGGGGATGCCCACAGCCCGAGTCTGAGGTTGCAGTGAGCTATGCTGCTATTGCACTCTGCTAGGGGCATAGGGTGGGACTGTGTCTCAGAAAAAAAATT